GTTATCCCTTCCTGCTCACTACCGCATAGCACCCACCTTCTATGTGTCCCTCCTCAAACCCTATACTAATCCTCTCACTCCTTCCTCCCCAGGGTCTGGTGCTGCGGATGTGCCCCCTCCTCCGGTAGACCCAGAAGATGACAACATCTATCGAGTCCACGAAATCCTTGACTCCCGACGACGGGGCGGCTACCTGGAGTACCTCGTCGACTGGGAGGGGTTTGGTGTGGAGGAGAGATGCTGGGTACACCGGGAGGACATATTAGACCCCGTTCTACTCCAGGACTTCCATACTGCTCATCCGGATCGTCCAGCACCCAGAGGCCGTGGTCGTCCCCGTCGTCGGTCCTTTCCGCCAGCTGGAGCTGGCCGTAGGGGGGGGGGGTTGTTGGGGGGGTACTGTCATGGAGCCATCTGCGTCAGCACCAGACACCATCACTCCGCCCACTCGTTCTGGTTCCCCGGACTACTAATCATCCTCACCTGTCTCCACTTCCCAGTCCAAGCACCTGCATCATAAAAAACTCACTCTCTCAGTACTTCACTGTCTGGTCTCGTTTTCACTACGTCTACAGACTCCATACTCGCTGAGTATAACCCGCCATCACTTACCTGCTAAGAAGCCTATCCTCCGGTCCGTGTTCGTCTGCTCCCGCCTCCAGTTCCTCTCCGGTCTCCGCCATTCCAGCCAGCTCTCCCACTCCATCCGGACCTACTAGAGATAAGAGATTCCTCGTCAGATTATCCCGCTGCCATTGAGTTCTCCGCTACTGCTTTACTCACCCACCTGTGATCATTGACTGTCTGTTTCAATAAACCCTGTGAATACTTACCCGTCTGTGTCCTTCTGGTTCGTGACATCCCCATAGAGCCACTTTCCTTTTGCTTCACCCTTCTTAATTTGTTCTCAAGAAACTGTTCCTTATCGACAAAAATACAAAGAAATATCAAGCTGCTCTCTCTCTCTGCCGCTATAGAGCATCACAGTCCCGCCCACAGTCCGAGAGAGCGCTGGTGCCGGAAGTAAATTTCCCATTAATTTCTCCCATTGACATTTTGTAAAATCCATATCTAAAGAGTATTAAAGAGATCATGTTTGAGAATAACCAGCTACGGCTGAACTCATAAGCATACAACATATCATTTCGAGTGAAAAAACAAAGAGAAAATCCAAAAAAAGTCAAAGGTACAAGCCTGTGTACATATTTTAATTACCAAGCAAAGGAACTACTCCTCCCATAAACCACCGCGCCTAACTGAAGTCGACTGAAAGCCACCGTGAAAGAGCCTTTTGAGCCATGCTCCTTGAACAAAGAAAAAGCATTAAAGCTGCAGTATTGAGTTTTGAGAAAACGTTGACTTAGTCTGAAAATTTGAACAAGCACAACTACAGGTCCCACCCCCTTGCTCTATGCTCTGCTGCGCTACCAGCCCTCCCTTCACAGCTCGTCCCCCACAGCAGAGCCGGTCATGAACGCGCAGGCTAGTAAACAGGGCTACCGATGACGGCAGATAAACAGTTATGACACATTCACTGATAGGGACTAAACGTCAACAATATGCTTTACATTGACTATGGCCTGCCCATACTTTGACTACAAACTTTTTTTTTCCTCATCTAATATGTGAACACAATGAAAAAATAATTTTGAACCTGGCTTTATCCAATAGATACAGTCGGTTGGTCTGGGAACGCCCCCGGGAACGCCCAGTCACGTGATGTGAATTTAGCCCGTGGGGGAAAACATTGCCTTGGCGCTCATTGAAATACATGGACAATCATGCCGAAGAGTTGCTGTGTTGTTTTCTGTACCACCAATAAACGAACAAATTATAAATTGAACTTCTACAGCCTTTCTTACATACATACAGAACCGGATAGGAGGACAAAATGGCAAAATTAATCATATCTTATTAGATTACTGTGTGAGTAGAGATCCCTGTGTGATAGTAGTAGATGTTTAACTCGTATTAGGCAGTGGGCCAGATTTGTCTGACGTTACATCCCTTACGAAAAAGAACTATAGTAATCCTATATGCTAATTAGTATTCTATAGTAGTGTATAATACTTCTGTGATGTTCTTTAATACCTCTATACTTCTAGGCTATGTCCCAAACTACTATAGAATTCCTATAGGATTAACGTTACTATAATATTTTGTCCTAAAATACTACAAGATTCCTTTAGTTGTTTTTCATAAGGGATGTCTCAGTCACATTGGCGTTATCAGCTGAAGGTTATCAGACTCTGCAGTCTGTGAGAATTCGGATAACTGTCAGCAAAGTCCCTCTGCAACTTCTACTGCTGATCACCGTTTTAAGGATTACTAGTTTGGAGTGAAGCATACATAGCCTACAATTGGTAAGTGACATTTTATGGACTTATAGTAACTTATACCAAAGTTGATTGAGCTTGGCTTGTGTTTCCGGTAGCTTCCGCGATGTCTTACCGTGTCTTACCTGGAGATTCAACCAGATAACAATAGTCTGGAAACGACTCCTCCGGCCATTTGGTTGGGTCATTGACCCAGTTTTTAATTAAATAAGGGCAATCATAACCTATTACAGTTAATTTTGCAATGTACCGTTGCCGGTCGGCAGGCATAAATGACTCGCAATATGACATTTTTGTCATTCAAACATAGGATGGTCGTGCTGCTTTCCCCCACGCCAAACACGCCCCCCAACGATGACGCGTTGCCGACCGTATCATAATATGCAAATTAGTGCATATTTAAGTAGAGTAGATAATACCTCATTTGGATATTTATCTTAATATAGGTAATCAACTGGGAAAGTTTCATGTTGTTGATATCTGCTAGTTTTAAAAAATTACCCTATTCACATGTAGTGTCTCGCCTTAAAAGTGAACTAGGGCTACTCCTTTAATTCCCGGCAAACAAATGTCGGCAACACGATTCCTGGCTGCATGTCAATATCCATGGATAACTGGATCTTTAGTGAGTTAGGATCACACTAGTTATTGAGTCCAACATTTAGTTTAAATTGATAAAATTGTTCGTTTTAGTCGCATTTTTAGTCGGGAAAGTGACGTCAATGCATTCCCTCTTGTTCTCCTTTAACATGTTTGATTTAAAAACTCTTTTTAAAAAAATGCATGTTTTGAATTTAATAAAAATGAATTTGAAGTTCCATATTTCTTCATCTTGAAAACTTGAATCTGTGCTTTTAAAAACAGGATAGGCCTATTTGCAGTCTAAGAAATCAGGGAAAAAAAAGGAATAAAAAAGCTGTTTGAATAAAATAAAAGCTGTTTGAAATAGGCTAAATGTTTATAAAATTCAAATTCAAATCTACACAATTCAAATTCAAATCATTTTGTCATATTATACTAATCTCCATAAACACCTGCCTAAATCTGCCCCCAAACAACATGCTAAAACTAAAGCAAATACTAGGGAGGAGTAGGCCTATACTCAACTAATAGCCTATAGCCTATTTATTTGAGAGAGTCGGATTCGGACAGGGGTTGTCGCTTTTGCAGTCTTGTGAGAATAGTTTGTGTTGTGAGTGCTATACTGGCAGATGCAGACAGTTAGATGATTTTTTTTTCTCTTGAACTCTGTCATGGAAACTAGCATGTATAAACCTAAATCAAACAACTTAAAAATAAATTAAAATTGTATTTATTTGTATGAGTTGAGATTACGCCATAGCCACATTGAACCCATTGAAACGCCAATGGTTTGGAAAATTAATGGATGAATGGTTCATATCATCTGTGGGCGCCATCTTCTGGCAAGACGCGGGAATTCATTCGATGGCTAGCTCACTGTGCGTTAGGTATTCTCTCTAGAGGTGTTGAGTGCTGTGCATAGACATAAAATAGATATGATATTGTATTTTACATGCTATGGCTTAGAACGCAAGGAGCAATCCAGTCATAGATCAGTAATCGTGTTTGTGATCAAAGGCTGCTTTTACTTTCACTTAGCTATATGTTATGTAAACACACCTGTTACAGTAAAGGTAATAATACACTATTATATTATATATAATAGCCTATTATGTTACGCTTAATAATACAATAGTTTGTGTATATGGAGAATTTGAAGAAATACTGGTAAAGTCATTTACTTAAGTTGGACGGCAGAGACAGTATCTATTCTCAGGGCAACACAGACAAAGACAATATATATATATTTTTTTTTAATTTGAGAAAACCTCATGTACATTTAAAAAAAATGAACACTCTATTACACACTTCCTCCAAGAAGTCAAAGAACAATACAGCACCTTTTTGGCATACGTCAAAAATAACAAGGCAATAACTTTCTATCTTGTTGGTGAATATGGAATACTAGTCTTGATGAATGATTAGATAAAATGGCTTTACACTGTGGCTGTTGTTTGTATTTTTGTACATATTTTATAACTTTGTTTTGTAACAAACCCAAATAAATATTAGCTTGCTCACATGCACCTTTTCTGGCACAGAAAAGTCACTTTAGTGACTATAAGGTAACACAGTATTTCATTGCACTCTCATGTTGTTGCTCTGCCAACTCTAACCACACCACCTGAATGTACAGGCAATGATTTATTATGAAACTGTTAAACCTCATTGCATTTTTGTTCTTTTGTAAACATCTCTTCAGCATTCAGTATATCAGTGAAGTACATCAACTACAAATGTTTCAGCTTTTTTTTTTTTTTTTTTTTCTCTCCGCAGTGATGAATGTTAAAATGTGTGTTTTAACCAGCAGGTCTGAGGCACCACAATTTGGGCGCCACAGTTCATAAAGTGCTGACAAAAACTTAATACAGAAAAACGGAGACAAACACTGAATCAGCGACACATTTCTTAGGCTCATGTGAATGAAGTTTAACCTCCTAAATGGTTATGTTGAGAACTTTGATGGGATATTTTGGCCTATGGTTTGTAGTATCTGAGAGTAGCAGTGCATACGCAGGATTTGTTTTTTCCTAAGGGATCTTTAGTCGACGCAAGACTGAGAGACCAACACTTGACACATTCAAAGACATTCTTTGAATGAATCAAAGCTCAGAGATTTGTGGCACACCTCTCTGACTAAATTGCCCTGATCTGAATCAGTTCTTTGTGGCTTATGAATAGTTATGCAGAGGATGAGCACTGAATACAGAACAGCACATTTACTCTGAGATGCTCGTTTCACATGGGCCCAGATCTTATCCTTAAGTGCAGCAAATCTTTAGCCTAAGATGAGAGAAGATTTGCCCCCTGGTGGGTTTCTACGGCCAGAAGGAAGGCCAGCTGCAGGCTGCTCTGTTGCAGAGAGGCAAGGTGGAGCTGGTGTGTCATGCTGCTCCTCAACAGCTTTAGGTTCTTCTGTGCTATCTGTGAACATAATAATAATTAATTGTCAGATCATTTTATAACATTTAAATAAAAATAAACGGAAAGAATTTTTTTTGTTCTATTATATTTTTGCCACATCAGTTACTCTCACCCTTGTGAGACAGTGAGAGTAAGACAAACGTGTCCATGACAAATCAATATTTTAATGATTTTTTTATCAAATTACTCTAATTACACTGGTTCATATAATTTTGAAAACCCTTTATATATTTTTACAAACTGAACTAACTCGTCATAAAAAGATTAAATTATTGGAAATTTATTACTTTATGCCTTCCAAAAAAAATCTTAAAATGAAACTAACTAAAAACATGCTCATAATAGGTTCATGTCATCGTGTTAAATAAAAAAGTGTTGATGATGCAAATTTAAATGAATGGTTAGAACACTTACCAACATTGACTGAGTCTTCATCGCCATTCTGTGCAAAAATAAAGCATGTTCTCAGTAATAGATTAAAAAAAAACATTTACAAATTATGCAACCACTTTGAAGTCAGTCTGAACTTCGATCCAAGGTCACACGTTTGTTTTCACTCATTAATGACTGAACTTGTCTCTATAACTTACCACAGGTACATTGTCGAGTGTGGTGCTACTTTGGTTGACTGGTTGAGCAGTACACCTTCTGAGCGGGGCAGATGGCTCTCCACACAACACACCTGTAGGTTTCCCACCTTTCAAACAAATAAGAACTGTAAAAGTATCTGTGCATTGAGCTCATAAACAATAGAGGATACTTGCAGCCCAGACATACAAGTTGTATTTTATTCTTTGTTATGCATGAAAATATGTTAAAGAGCATTTTAAGCAAAATAATGTTCTGTAAAGAAGTGACATTAGTTATCATTTTTAATTTTATTCAATATCAATATCATTTGTTTTAAGGTGCCGTAAGTAATGTTGACAGCTAGTGGTTGAAATTGGTACTGCAGTCCAATTCAAAACACTATCACATTTTAACATGACTCTAGACATAGATCTTTTTAGATGGATGCTGAGGCTTTTTAGGTTGGGTAGATTCTACCATCTCTGTCCCAGTTCATTTGCAGTCTTCCATGGCTGCAATATGTTGTGTTTTCCGCCAAACCGTCACGGAGCACACATTTCAAAGTAGAATAACTGGCTGATTTATTATTTTTCAGGGAAACAAATATTTAAACTTAGCATGTTTCATAAATATCTGTATTTGTATGCTTTAGTACGGTCAAAAAATTACAGACAGCACCTTTAAGAATTAGCAAGACTAAGCAAGTTTTTAAATGTGGAACTGAAACACATTCAGCATTTGATTGCTCATTATCACACATGCTAAAGTGAGTCACATAAAGTTATTGTTGCTTCCACCAGCAGCTTAAGTCTGAAACAAAAAAAACACACACACATTTAAAGCAGTGCATACTCATAAAACCATAATTTAAATATTTCTTAATTTCTCAAAGGTTTAGTCATCCCAAATGCAAGGGAATAAAGGGCAGTACACACCAGGACGAATATCGGCGTGAGTTATTTGCCAGGGTTTTTCAACGTGTCTTTTGTTTTCACACCCAGACGATTTTCGTTGATGATGACCCGAGTGAACAGACAAATTCATTCCCTGACATTAGATGGAGCTTAATGTAAAACAGAAATAGTCCTATTTTGTACTCGCTGTCGCATTTGTCATATGCATCTACCTCGTCTTATTTCTTAGGCAGTGTAGACGCTACTTGGCGTATATATTCTCCGTTACGTATGTGTGCTCGGCAAGACCGTTTTGTGTTTGAGCGCCCCCAAGTTGTGTTATACTGTAACTTCAGAAGCTAGACACGAGAACAAAAGCTACCAATCTCATTGGTTGGATAGTTTTTGACGTGGCATGTCAAACCAAAAAAACGAACCCGAGGCGTTTTTTAAAAAATGACGCTGTTATGCATTTGCGGGGTTTTTTTTGCGTCGGCTGTGCACTCTCACATTGGCGCCCTTTGTTTAGTCACAAGCATAGACTGTAAAAAAGATGGACGATGCTCCTCCGCTCTTTTCAATCGGAGAGAACTGAAGCCGCCAATGTCCCAATATGGCGCTGACATCTTGGGACTTGAGTCTGCGCACTTTGCGTTTTCGGGACCAGACATGCGCAGTCGTGAGCAGGAAGTAAAGCCGCGAAATCAAGGCCGCGCCCTCACCCTCGCTGAATCTTTTGTAAGCACACGCCCCTCACATTTCTTAAGTGGCCTTTGTGTCACATGTTATGTATTTTTTTGGGTTCATTAGGGTTGCTTGTGGGTTTTGTAATCTTCTTGGTTAATTGTTCCCTGCGTGTTAATACTCTTCCCAGGTGTTTCTCATTGACCACACCCTCTCGTTATCATGTTAGCTTATTTAAGCCTGTGTGTCTTGTGTAGTCTTTGTGAGTGCTTAAAGGAGAACTCCGGCGAACAATGAACCTTTGGTCTAATAAAACGTCGGTACCTAGTCAACCATTCTCTGAGTTTTGTTTTCATGATAATCGAATGTAAAGAGTTTTATCTCTAAAAACTGTTTAGCGTATAATGCTAGTAATGGGGGCATTGAGTAAGTAAAAAGAAATCGCTAGTTTATACCACTAACAAAGCTCAAAATAGCCCCACACTCACACAGTAATATAATGAGGCTCCATACATGCAAAACGAAGCATTGAGAACTTTGTAAGTGTACAGACCGTTTAATAAGAAGATACTTTATGAAGACAGTTCACTTCGCGTATACAGACAAGAGCCATCTTAAAAAATAGTCTCGATAAGTCGATCCCCGAACGCCATTCATACAGTTCAGAAGTTCGTTGAACTTCATAGAGTTCAGATCACTCAGCACGACGTTCGTGGTTCGACTTATCGAGACTATTTTTTAAGATGGCTCCTGTCTGTATACGCGAAGTGAACTGTCTCTTTATAAAATATCTTCTTATTAAACGGTCTGTATACTTACAAAGTTCTCAATGCTTCGTTTTGTATGTATGGAGCCTCATTATGTTACTGCGTTAGTGTGGGGCTATTTTGAGCCTTGTTAGTGGTATAAACTAGCGATTTCTTTTTACTTAGTCAATGCCCCCATTACTAGCATTATAAGCTAAACAGTTTTTAGAGATAAAACTCTTTACATTCGATTATCATAAAAACAAATTTCAGAGAACGGTTGACTATGTACCGATCCTTTATTAGACCAAAGGTTCATTGTTCGCCGGAGTTCTCCTTTAATGTTTGTGAGCTGGTTGTTCTGTCTGGAGTTCACGTTTCTGTAGTTAAGAGTTTGTATTTTTAATAAATAATGCAAATGGATCCTACTCTCTTGTTCACTTCAACCGGCCGTGACACTTTGTCTCCAATGATGTCCGCTGATTGCAGTACCTCGTTAAAATAAGGTAAATACCACATAGTCAACATTATGAAAAAAGTCCGCTGGTGCTTCAGCAGTGACTACTTCTCACAGACAATCAATCATGACAGTCAATCACGATGTCACAGCACCGTGTTTAAAGCATCAAATAACTAACTAAATACAAACTTATTTTAAAAACAAACATTTGAAATTACACAAGCATGATATAAACTACAGTAAATGACAGAAACTATCTTTGGAAAAAGGATATGTGAAGTGTATTTTAATTGTTTAGTTGGTCTCACGTCCCGTTGAATAACGTGGGGAGGCGGGGGTTATGACCTATACTAGGACCGGTCACAGGGGGGCGATTGAGACGTTTTGGCTTCACTTTTGTGGGCTTGTGCGGCACGCTTGGTCACGAAGCGTTAAACGTCGGTGAATATCGCGAGCGAAATTTTGCTCCGGTGTGAACAGAATTTGCCCCCGTGTGAAAAGGGGTGGTTTATTGCTTTTTTTCTTTGCATGATTGTGTTTAATGTGGTGTATATGTATTTAATGTTAACATGTATTCGTGGTTTTTCTTTTTTTAAAAGTCTTATTTTTCATAAATTTCACCTTCACTGTAAGCCGCTTTCTCCTCCGTCATTTGAACGACCGGTTGACTTCCTGAGTCTATGAAAACACTCCCTCAGAAACAGGCAGTGGGCTCAGATTGGTTAGTTTGGGCCGGTGTGTTGTGATTGGCTAAACTGTAGTGCACGTTGTCCAGAAAATTCACGCCCATTACCTTTACGGGCGAAGTTGCATGTGTTGTTCCTGTCAAATGTAAATAATGGTGTCGATGCTGCAGTATCAGTATGAGCCAGAATCAGACCCGGAAAGCGGCAATGAAGAGAGTCAAGCAGAACCTCACCACACACGGCTCTTACAAAACGTTTCTGAATGGTAATTTGCCCTTTATTTTTTAACTTTATACACGTTTGTCTTACACAAAATAAGTAGCATCGAACTAACTGGCTACTATATACAAAAACAGCGTTGGCTGGCACTGGTTTACGTTCTTGATCAAATCGAAAAATAACACCATAAAGTATATATACATGAAAAATACATTTACAATATTAGTACATATACAAAATTCAGGTCCAAAATGTATGTACGCATTTGTTGTAGACACAAAATAGCATAACTAGCCTAGTGGCTATAAAGCCAGTGCTAGCATTTGATAAAACTAAAACATTATATCTGAAATTATACATGCAAATACATTTTAAAGGGTAACTAAACCCCTGGTCAGAGCCTGACTCCACCCACTGGCAATATTTGAAAAATGCTGGAAAAGTGGGAAGAGCCCAGCGGAGGGGGGCGTGCACCTGAGACGCATCTCTTTGTATGAAACTTGCCTATGTCACCAACAACCGCTGTGTCATGTACCACCGCAAACATCCAATAGGAAAATTCAACTGCAGTAGCCACCGTTCAACCTGAAGAGGGCAGCACTCAGACGTTTTTACACCATATATTGTAGAAATAGAACACTTTATAAACAAATGCCAAAAAAGTTACTCGAATCAATGACTGGTATTAATAAAGATCCATTCTTACAGATCATTAACTAAAAAAAGTTGGTTAAGTGTTTAGTTACTCTTTAAATGATTAAGTCTTTAGCCTACTTACAGGTTGTGGCCCAACAACTGCTGCCACTGGTTTTTAAGTTGGAACTGCTTCATGTTTTAGTAATAGTTTCTTGTTGAATCCGGCATTGAATTCGTGAAGATTCTGGAAGCTGTTTTTCTTAAAATGCGCAGCACAGAGAGCTAAATTGCGATCGTCATTTTCAGGAACATAATCAAATATAAATTGTATCCATTGTTGACGAACTACAACGTCCGTGGGAAGCCCGAACACAGAAGACCTGACAGCTGAGTGAAAATAAAACACTTTCCACTTTCGAGCCTCAGAAATATGGCCATGCCCTTTTTTGCATATGGGTTGAGGGTTGATGCAAATGTATGGGTTAGTGACGCCTAAAACCTGTTGTAGTCCCATTCGAGTCGTTTTTGTAGGCATTAAACTTCCTGATTTTTAAAAGACGATATCTCTACTTACATTGAACTTTCAGCGCTGCAACTTTGCAGATACTGTTCATGCACCAACAGCAACATGACAAACTATTTCAAATGAAAATAGTGAAATCGCAATCAACCACCCCTGTAACACTGCCTAGAAAACTATTAAAAAGTAAAAGATGAGACAGGAATCATTAATAAGAAAAATCAGCACCTGGTGGATTGTTCCTCCGATGGGCATGCGGGTCCTCGGGTTCAGCAAATATACTAGATGCCATTTTGTGTTTTTTCACAGATTTGTCTTCATCGTTGCCAAAGCAGATGTTTGAACCTCCACCAGGTGGACGCAGCACTCTGAGATAGAAACCACAGAAATTTTAAAAATAGGTTGTCATATGCAACTTTTTTAACTGATCAGCGATCACTACTTGTCCTTATGTGCATTACCTACATTTTAAAAGTTTTTTTTTTTTTTTTGTGTGTGTTTTTGGTGGGATACAGTTCTTGACTGTTTGTTTTGTCACATAGTGTAGGCTATACCCCAACATTGCACAGGTGTTGTGGGCAACATCAATCCAAAATGACAGACCCATGAGGGCCACATAGAACAGAATAAAACAACAGAATGTTGAGTAAAATTAAGTGATTAAGCAGAGTTTGCCTTTAATAAAGAAAGAAAAAAGAAACCTTGTGGCTTAAGATTTTCTTTTTAAATGAAAATGTAAGAATTTGTGCAGACGTAAGATGTATGTATTCCTAATTGCACATGTACATTTATTATTTGAATTTGATTTATTCTACTTTATTCTACTACTATTCAGTAAATGAAAATATTTTTTCCATTTCTTATTGCTAAGACAGCTTGAATTAACTTATGAGCTGATATTGTTTTAAGCATGCTGAAATCAATCTCACTCAAAATCCCTCCACCAGTTAGACTGAAAACTGAAAACAGGGAGCGTATAATTCTTTACTACAGCAGCTGAACCGCACCCAACCTTAACCACACGCGCGCGCGCGCTCAAGCATCCTCGTACTGAGAAAGCGTGGTGAGGGACTCTTCAAATGTACGAACGACTGATACAGTGCAGTGAATACGATGTTTTAATAACTCAACAATTCATTAATTGTGTGGCTGTCCTTTTGAAAATACTGCAGCCAGAGGCCGCAAGCGAGTTGCCAACCTAGACAGAATTTTGGAGCACTGTGCGTTACTAAGACTTGGAAAGCGACCGCATGTCTCAAAAAATGCTGCACGCGCCTCTGTTGTCTCTCAAAAAAAAAAGCTGTCTTCAGACACTGCCAGGGAAGCACATGTCAGTGCAATAAAGCAGGCATGTATAAACCAAAATCCTGCCTTTTTAAAATCCAATACACTTTGCCTTTGAGCTACGAGGTACCATTTTATCCCCAAAAAGCAATGTTTGTTCCGAAGATGGTGCTCATTCTCATCAGCATCGCCATCCGTTTTTTAAAACAATATCGTTCAGCTAAAGAATAATTGTCTTTTGTCAGTGATATGTCATCTCATATAATGTTCTGAGATACCATAGCCATTTATCTTAAATAATTTGCTGTTTTCTACAGCCTAAACCGCTTGAGTATTGTTATCCAATAGAGATATTCTATATTATAAGAACCTGGAGCTGCTCCTCCCGGTCGGATCCATGCCTTGATAAGTGGTGGTGGTTGTCATCTGGAACACTCAAAGCTTCTGTTCACTGCTTTTCCCACAATATATTCCACAGATTATTGTCATCAAGCCACAAAGAGCGTCTCCTGCTCAGGTCATCAGTCTCTAGTGCTGAATCTGCGCTCCGGTACACGCCCATTAGACGCGATTAATACTGCACTTCTACAGATCCGCCACTGGAGCGGCGCCAGAGAGTACTTACAAATACTTGTGTAACCATCCTATGGTAACCATACAGTTAGATTAGATTTAATTTAGATTAAAACCTGTCTACATTTGAAGGACTCATACAAAACTATATAGCAAACCTTGACTCATACTAGTGATAAGGGTAAATTGTACATGTTTTATTTATATTTTATCTGAAATGTTTAAGCTTCTAGAGAGCAGTACTGAAAAGAAATTATATATATATTTAAACTTTGTCAATTTCCCATTACCACCCTATTAAAAATGTACACCCCATCTCCTATTTGTGTTGCCTTCTTGAGGATCTGTAGGTAATTACACTATTTAGAATAGTTATGAGTCCCTCAAATTATATTAGATTCCACAAGGTGTATGTAAACCACAAATGAATCTAAATAAAAGCATGGAAATCCAATGTCCCGTTTAACCATGTTGCTATTTCCATTAAATGTAATGCAGAAAAAGAAAAAAAAAAGCCTCAAGTTGTTTTGTAAAACAATTTTATTCCAACACAAAATCTTATCAACATTTCAACTCACAACACAAGTCACTAAATAAAATTAGCCTGAGTACAAAAGAGAAATACATCAACATATATAAAATATTTATAAAAAGTCCAATGGCTCTGAGCAAACAAAACAGTACTTTAGAACCGACACTGACCTAAGTTCTAAATACCAAATCTGATGACTGATCAAAAGCATTTTAGTCTTAACACATGAAATACATCAGTGTTTACACAAATATATTTTAAGAAAGCCATTCATCCGATTTGGGACAGCTGATGGGCATTTTAGAGCGCAGGTTTTGGCAAGGTGGAAGGAGGTCAGCCTATTAAAAGAAATGCCGGGGACAGAGAGGAGGACATGATGCTGGAGGGCAGCGGTCCGTATTTACATCAGGCCCCCAGTCTGTTGCTGAAATACATCAATTGTATCCTCATCCTCCATTTCCAACTGCAAATAGAAAAAAAAATAATAATAATTAATTAATAAAACACTATAAACGATATGAATAATTTAAACATGGTGACATCCAGAACAGGTCATATCAGTGACTTTACCTGAGCTGGTGTGTCAGTCTCATTAATTGGCTGCCCATCAAACCGGAATCGAATCTGACGCATTGATAGCCCCTGTGAACAGATCAAATGTTGACTTGACTGCTTAAGCATGCTGGAGACACTTTCTTGCCATTGAGATGGAGTAAAAGTGTCCCAATAAACTTGAATTCACCCCCCTGAGTTGGGTGCATTTGCATCAAGTTGTTAGAGCGGATGATGGTGGTGGTATTGGTAACCAACACTAAATAAAACACCATCAGCAAAAACAGCTGATCAGTCACAGGGTTTAATGTTCACTACATCAGAATTTATTCAGCAAATGCATTTCCATCTGCCATTATTCGCATGAAATCTTTTTCACACTAGTCAATGACCACCAAGTAAGAGTAAAAGCTTTTTTGAGAATTTAACTAGGGCTGCAACTAACGATTATTTTGATAATCGATTAATCGGACGATTATTTTTTCGATTAATCGATTAATCGGATAAAACATTATACTCTTTTTGTTTATTATAACAAAATAAAACCCTAAAAACCACACTCTTTTGTGTGTTAAACTTCATTATAAAGAAAAACAACAAATAAAAAAAATATATGACCATAACCTATGACAAAAATGCTATTGTAAACTAGATTAGTGGATAACTCAGCAAAACTTAGCCTAGAAATATCACAAGTGCACAATAATTTTATAAAATCTGAACATTTAGTGAAAAAAACATTCCTTAGTGGGGAACAAATAAGAGACAATAAGTGTAGCACTAACTCTGGTAAAACGTACACATTGCTCTTTGTATTGTTGTTATACATTCATGAAAAACATCGTAAAAATCAGATGCACAACTGTTTTAAATGTAAAGCACAGCTGTTTAGGGAGGAAGCAAAATATAATAGATACGACAGAACAAGAAAGGCTATTAATAAGCTTTCATTGCGCAAAAGTATTAGGACATGATCATGAAAGAGCTGCACAAATTATGCGCATCGCGAGCGCTGAATGATGCGCTTGAAGCAACACGGAGTCACAGGGCGGCGCGCAGCTCTTCAGTGTCCGCCGCATTAAAGTTTAAAGCACCAAGGAAAGAGAAAGACATACTGACTGTGTATTATACAGTATCTATGCAATAGTTTATTAAGCCTTTTCTTTTAACAGTTTTAAATTTCAGTTAGGCTACTGTGCACGTGAAGAACAATTATACTGCGCCGACTATACTATAGTGTTGTGATCCAACAGACACTCAGTAGAAAGTGATTAAGTTACAGCAATAAAAGTCTAGCAAGATAGAAAAACCATCATAGACCTTTAACTATGGATCAATTATAATAATAACATTGAATCATCTTGGAAAGAGATCATCATGTTAACTGTTGTAACGCGACGCGCTGTTTGAACACCGAATAGAGAATGACTGACAGCCGCAGTGGAGGGAAAAGCTTAGGTTAACTTGAATTTAATGACTTAAATATACATTTCTATCTCACATTATACTATAGTATGGCTTCATAAAGTATACACGATTAACGTAGGTCACCTATTTTGGTTTTAAAACGGCGAATTTACCGAAAGGTGAATGATTTTCGTGTATGCTGCATATTGATAGCGGTTTCCTGATGCCCGCAAATTAGTTCAAACTCACGGAATCAAGAGCGCGCATGCGAGACAGAAGATAATGTGCTCCAAACCGTCCGTGTTGCGCGCGCGAGACAGGGTAGAGCGGCGAGGGAGAGAGACTGCATGTGCGCCTCATGAAGCGCATGTAAGAAGCGCATGTTCCATGTAAACAATCCCCGTGACGTAATCAGACCAACTAATCGATAATGACATTCGTTGACAACGATTTTCATAATCGATTATAATCGATTTTATCGATTAGTTGTTGCAGCCCTAAATTTAACATTCCATCACTTGTTTCTGATGCAATACTTCAAAATGATCTCATCTGTATAAGGGTGAAGGGTGACAAACCTCATCTGTATAAGGGTGATGAAAGCATATCTATTGGTTGCAAACACATACAGTACGTATCTGCAACCAATAGTTATGTTTCCATAACCCTTATACAGATGAGATTTGTATACAACTTAAAACCAATTATTTCCAGACATTCACATCTTTACCCATCTCTAAGTTGGCAGGTATGGACAACCTGTGCATGTAAAGGATGATGGTTTATGTAAAGGAAGGTAAATGATGCAGTTGAATAATAAAATAATTTTACCTGTCTCTCACAATATGCTTTCATCAGTTTGTTGAGGGGTGTGTGCCTCTTGATTTTGAACTGAACCACTGAGCCATCCTGCCCAGCAACTTTCAGATTGATGTGGTCGTTCTCTGTTTTTACACCCTCCTGACATGAAAAGTAAAACACCAGTTATCATAAATAGATCAAAAGAACATCAAAAGATAAGTAAATACCTGCTTTGCCAAAATTATGTAGTAGACTGCAGCATATTGGAATCATAAGCATATTCAATAAAAGGTTTCACAAAGCTAATAAGTGACAAAACAAGTTCTTTTACTCATCTAAAATAACACTGTCCCCCAAAGTCTAAACTTTTGGACACCATGGTTTGATTTCACAGACAGGGCTTAGATAAAGCCAGGATTATCTTAATGGGCTATATGCACACATAAGTTCCGCATTTGACGTAAGGATGCTCGTCCATTTCCGGTTGTGGAGATTAAAGCGGAGGAAAACCGGAGAAAACGGGATTATGGCAGAGTCTTCAATATTTACTGTCCTCCCGTCTTTGAAACGAAACGTACATACGTTTAGATGTAATTTTATATATAGTTATGTTTATTTAATATAATTTAAAAAAAAGCATAAACACAACGAGGGGAGTCTGTTTTATCTGTTTTTGTGACTAACGTTTCATTAGTATAACCATGGAGTATAAAATTCAATATAAATTCTCGGTATTGCATTGGACTCTATGATCGGCGGAAGTTATCGAGCGTCCTTAATCCTTCACCGGAAATAACGCCGTGCATAGAGCCCATTAGGACATTTAAGTAGCTTTTATAAATCTGCCTCAGAAAAAAAAAAATTTGAAACAAAACAATGTCACTGACATTTAAGACACGAGTATGCAAGTTGCTTTCAGTTAAAACAGCTCGAACAAACATTTTCTTGGACTAGGCTTTTACTTTATCTGAGAGAACTGAGGGTTGATGTATTGAACCACAGAACAGCAATAAAAAAAAAAAAAAAAAAAAAAAAAAAAACAAATGGCCATTTTCTTTTAGTAACTTACAGATTTTAAATTAAGTGATTTGTGAAGAGCAGTGGTCGCAAACATGTCTTAAGGACCCTCACCCACCATTGCATATTTCTCTCATCAGTCACTTTTCACTTTTCTAGTCTCTAACTTGCTACTGAACAACTGATATTGATTTAGATGTGGTCAATATGGAAAAATGTGCAGTGGCGGGGGCTCCTCTGTATAGGTTTGCTCCTCTGTATAGGTTTGAGAAGCACATTTCCAATGTGACACGACTTTTTTAAAAGTTATTTTCAAAATATAAATAAAAAAAAATGAAGTCTGTCGATACATGATTAAATGCACAAATGGGACAAAAAGGACTCACACAACGCGTTTGTTAAACCCACGATGCAAGTCTGCACTGACGGTAACGTACTAATTCGCGAGTCCAGAGCTTTGCGCGCGAAGTCAGTGAGCTCGCGAGAAACTGCTGTGGACACTGCGCGCTTCCAAAATATAGTGCTTAACGTTAATATACGCATTGTCTTATCACTTGCAATGTTGTATGAGGTGTGAGCTTTCTATTACGGTCTACGGTTGCGAGGCACATTAGCGAACTGGATAATTAGCGCGTTAGCATTATGGAATACCATCACCATTTCACAAAGAAACTGAATAAATTAACAAAAAAAATGAGAGAAAATAAACTCTAAAAATCCCCGATTAATCATATAACAAAGAATTGTCGTGTTTATAAAAACATTTATTTAAAAAAAAACCTGCACACGCACCTTTGGTTTCTCGTCTGCCATGACTGCCTCTGCCTCTCACGAAAGCGCGTAATGTCGCCGGAAATGACGACAATTTAAAAGGGACCACTTCCGGAATCCCATACCCTCCCCTTGATTTAACAAAATCACGAATATCCCCAGCTTTTTTAAAACTGAGTGTGAATGATTTGACAAAACCAGTAGCAACCAATATTGATATACATAGCATAACACAACACATTGTTCATAACAATATATTTATTTGACTTTAAAACAGTATCTAACTTTTATCAGAGTCTAAAAAGAACAGTATCATTGGAATATTTGTGAAGCTCTTCTTCAAAATAACTTACAAGTCAAATTAATAATCAGAGTAGGCTCCTGGACACATTCAGTAGGCTACAATAAAATAATACTGAGGCATCTGCTGTAAAAAAAAAAAAAAAAAAAAAAAAATCCATACAAAAGACACCAACACATCTTTAAAAAGTCTAATTTTATAATATAAATAATTGCATATGTAATAACCCTAAAGTGAAGTGTAAAACATGTCATGTAAAACATCAAAACCGGCCTCCTGTCCAATTACACACCCACACATGATTAAGAAAATCGGACAACTCTGCATATAGGCAATTCCTTCCAGTTGTGTAAAAAATGAAATAAAGTGAAAATTTACATCCAAAAACACAGAAGTCAAAGTATGCTTTGCACACTCTTTTCCCCTCCACACTTCCCTGTGTGAATTACTGTTATCTACCGAGTTTCTGCTTAATGACAATAGACAAAGTAAACTTGGCTTTAATCCAGTGAGGCCAGCCATGTCAAACACCAAGAATCTGATAAATAGTAATGAAATAAATATGTAAAACCCAGAAATAACATCAATAAAATTCACATAAGCACTAACCCAACTGGTGCATCACATCACAGAGCAGAGATTAAAGGATAGAAAAATTGTAACCTGTCCAAGTGGTGGCTGACAACAAAATGACCCATTACTATGCAAACTGCTTATGTTAATGACAACAGAACCTATTGAGTACCTAAAACCAGCATATCAAGATATGTGGGGGATTACTCAAAGATTGGGATTTATAAATGTAACATCCAGTGTGTCAAAGGTAAAGTCCTGGCCAGAACATATCTTTGAGACACTGTCGAAGGCTCATTGATGCTCACTGTGTTTTCCATTTCTCTTCATGAGTAACAGTGTGTACACAGCTATAAATGACCCCATCTTTCTACTGGAGGGAACTTGTCTATCTCTCCAGACTCCGTGACCTGTCGATCTCCAAGGATGAATGTCAGCTTGTACCTCATTCTCACTTTCTCCTGCAAAACAAACGCATACAATTATTTACGCAGTCATTGAGTTTGTCATAGAAATTTTATCACATAAACATTAATAATCTATTTTTATGGCCACAAGTACAACAAAATCTAATAACTAATATTGCAGGGATTAGCAATGTAGTCATTCTCAAAATATGGTGACAAACATGACAATTGACTTTTCAGTGATGAAAGATTTCAAATATTCAAGAAGTTCCATATAAAAGCATTCCATAACATAAGCTGTTTTTAGCAATTCAAAATGGGGTGACTATTTTGTACAATAAAAAAACACAACAAAAAAAAACAAAATGCCTTGTCCTAGTTATTAACTAGTAACCCACAAAAAGACAGTCTTTTTTCACAATGCAAAATACTCAGGGGATCACAGGAACAACATAGGAGAAGCGTAAATCATAGATTAACACCCAAACAAGAATCGACAGAACTCACACAGCCAATACACATGGGAATGGTAATTAACAGAACTAGGTGCGTAGTTAAATCAAGAACCATGGAAACAAAGGCTACATCCGAAATTGCATACTTCCTTACTATATAGTTGGCAAAAAGAGTAGGTGACAAAAGGAGTATGGCCGAATTCACAGTACTAATCGAAGATTAGGCAAAAAGAGCCAGGATGACCCATTTCCGGCGGGATTCTGAAGTGTGCATACGATGGACACTTTACTATCCCATGAGGCCACAAGAGAGGATTTATTAATGATACTGACAGCATGGTACTGACATATAAAGATATAAAGAATTTTTTTTAGCAGTTGTGAAAAAATTACTTATTCAAAATAAGTAAGGTAAACTGAACGTGACTGTGAAAGTTATTTAATTTTTGAATTTATTTTCCAAGGTTAGGCATTAGTGCAAGGTCTGACAAGTTTGCAACAACAACAAAAAAAGTAAAACAATATAAATATTAATATCAATTTATTTTAAAATAAAGTTTGTCAAAAGTTATTAATTTATCTTTTTTTTTATTAATATCAATTTTCTTTTAAAGGGGTCAAATAATGCCATTTTTATACAAGTTAATTGGATTATTTAGGGTCTAAATGAAAACTTTGTAATATACTTTTATTGAAAATTCATCATTAGTATTTTAAGAAAACACAAATTTTACCTGGTAAAAAACAGCTCTTTTTTTCAGCACGCCGTTTCAGTGCATATGCCTTTAAATAATAAGGAGCTTCGCTCACCCCGCTCCTCTGTTTTGCAAGCGCTTTGACATAACGCATGTGGAGTGTTGCCTTGACAACAGTTGAGGGTATATTTTGGAGAAAGAATGGCAGCAGGAGTCTCTATGGACACATCCGTGCAACTGTATACATTTGAAACAGACCCGGAATAAGATGACAGGCACAATGAAGTTCGACGATTAAAGGCACACTATGCAGGAATTCCGTTTTTGTCAAACAATGACCCCTAGAGTTGCTCTAGAGTACTTGTATTTAATGCTACTGTCGTACATACCACTCACGCAGAGCGTCTCTGCCATAGGCTGGTCTCTGCACTCACAGCCTGATACCCATTTGAAGCTGTTATAATAATGCACAAATCTTGCATAGTGTTTATTTTTTTGCTTTAAATAAGAGATCTAGTGCTAAAAATTTTTTTTGAACTCAAGCTGAGCGCTCATGTCTGCTGCTACCAGTGTCATGGATACATTATGTTTCTTGTGGCGGCGCGTGCACAGTCTTCACTCAATCTTCACAATCTATCGCAGTTGCAGAGCCTCCTATTCATTCCGGTGAAATCACAACATAAAATGCACAAAAACGTGTCCCTGCTTGATATAGACTGTAACCACTGATGAACATATTCAGTTTTGATGAGAGAGAAAAAACTTAGAACCTGTAACCTCTGACACGCTTGGAAAAAGATTTACCACTAGACCATTAAAGAACTCGAACAAAACGTGCGGATTGATACATTTACATTTACAGGTTGAGCAGAGAGACTCGTACTCTTTTCCTTTATCTAGTCTCTTCAGACCACGTTTTCTTTGCTTTTTCCACCGTCGAGTATCACGTCTGAAATGCGCGCAAGTGTCTTCGTGCTTCATGATGTGGTTGATGTGTGTGACGTCCTTGCCGTAAAAAGCATGTTGTGATTCTCGCGAGATTTGTCGGCGGCTCTCCTCTCAAACTTGCATTGCTGGTTTTTCCAGCAGCGCCCCCCCCCCCAAGCTTTACTACCAGGATGATTCGCGGTACAATGAGTTTGTTTACCAGCGAAATGACTTTGAAGCTGTTATATTAAGGTACAATTCTTGCATAGTGTGCCTTTAAGGCTCACACAGGACATTTCTGAATGGTTGGTTAACGTAACGTCACTTTGATCTTTCTTTGTTCTTTGGCAGGGTATGGTAACTTAGTGAGATGTACGAACGCTATGTGTTTACTGATGTATACGTACTCAGTTTGTAATAACACAATAACTATGACGCATTGTTCATTATAATGTGAGAACGTCATACAGTGGGGCCAAAAAGTATTTAGTCAGCCACTGATTGTGCAAGTTATCCTACTTAGAATAATGAGAGAGGTCTGTAATTTTCCTCATAGGTACACTTCAACTACGAGAGACAAAATAGAAAAAATAAATAAATAAATAAATTACAAAAAAATCCAGGAAATCACATTGTAGGGTTTTTAAAGAATTTCTTTGTAAATTATGGTGGAAAATAAGTATTTGGTCACCCACAAACCAGCAAGATTTCTGGCTCTCACAGACCTGTAACTTCTTTTTTAAGAAGCTCTTCTGTCCTCCACTCGTTCCCTGTATTATTGGCACCTGTTTGAACCCGTTATCTGTTTAAAAGACAAGCCTCAAATAGTCAGACTCCAAACTCAACCATGGCCAAGACCAAAGAGCTGGCGAAGGACATCAGGAAGAAAATTGTAGACCTGCACCAGGGTGGGAAGAGTGAATCTACAATAGGCAAGCAGCTTGATGTGAAAAAAATCAATCGCGGGAGCAATTGTAAGAAAATGGATGACATACAAGACCACTGATAATCTCCCTCGATCTGGGGCTCCACGCAAGATCTCATACCGTGGGGTCAAAATGATCATGAGAACGTTGAGCAAAAATCCCGGAACTACACGGAGGGACCTGATGAATGACCTGCAGAGAGCTGGGACCAAAGTAACAAAGGCTACCATAAGTAAAACACTACACCGAGAGGGACTCAAATCCTGCAGTGCCAGGCACGTCCCCCTGCTTAAGCCAGTACATGTCCAGGCCCGTCTGAAGTTTGCCAGAGAGCATATGGATGATCCAGAAGAGGATTGGGAGAATATCATGTGGTCAGATGAAACCAAAATAGAAATTTTTGGTAAAAACTCAACTCGTCGTGTTTGGAGGAAGAAGAATGCAGAGTTGCATCCCAAGAACACCATACCTACTGTGAAGCATGGGGGAGGAAACATCATGCTTTTTGGGCTGTTTTTTTGCAAAGGGGACAGGAAACCTGATCCGTGTTGAGGGAAGAATGAATGCGGCCATGTATTTTAAGCCAAAACCTCATTCCATCAGTGAGAGATGAAATGTGGCTGGATCTTCCAGAATGACAATGATCCCAAACACAACGCCCGGGCAACTAAGGAGTGACTCCGTAAAAAGCATTTCAAGGTCCTGGAGTGGCCTAGCCAGTTTCCAGACCTTTTGTGGAGTAAGAAAATTTGTGTTTGAGTCCGTGTTGCCCAGCGACAGCCCCAAAACATCACTGCTCTAGAGGAGATCTGCATGGAGGAATAGGCCAAAATACCAGCTACAGTGTGTGCAAACCTGGTGAAGACTTGAAGACTTACAGAAAATGTTTGACCTCTGTCATTGCCAACAAAGGTTATGTTACAAAGAATTGAGTTGAACTTTTGTTTAAAAATCCTACACTGATTTCCTGTTTTTTTTTTTTTTTTTCATTTTGTCTCTCATAGTTAAAGTGTACCTACGATGAAAATTACAGACCTCTCTCATCATTCTAAGTAGGAGAACTTGCACAATCAGTGGCTGACTAAATACTTTTTGGCCCCACTGTACATAGGAAACATGCTGTAATGTACCCTGAGTGTAAACCTTAGCCGCATTCATCATCAGGCGTGCAAGGGATTTGCAAAGATTAATGTGCAGCAGGGACATGAATAGTTGGTACCGATTCTTTTTTCAGGAACAGCTTCTTAGCAAAACCAGCTTTACACTGAGTCTGATCCACCAGCAGTCTGGTGAGAAATAATTTGCGCAAACATGAAAGCATTGACATTGCTCGTGGGGAATATTCCCTTCGAAAACAAAACTCTTCTTTAGCTGTTCGGATTTAGGAACATCAAAATGACTGCTGTGTTCATTATTACACCCAAGAACAGAACACCAATCGCTTAGAAGCCATTGTCCATGCGCTGGAGCAGAATATCGTCTATGATGACAGCTCACTCAGGACAGCTCTGTGCTGAAATACTGTCAAATCAACAATCGTGGGAGGGGCGTCCGACCATGTGATGTCACACGGTAGAACGGCTCGATTTGAGGCAAGGAAAAACATATAAGGATATTAAAACAAAAACACAGGATAGATATTTATCATTATATGATGCTTGTGTACAGGCACTGCCAACGCACATTTCAGTACAATCAACTTGAAAAAGTGCATGTACCATTATATGACCCCTTTAAGCTATAGTTTTAGTATTTATAACTATCCGCTTATAAAAATGATTTAGGTGTATGGAATGTCCTTATTTAGATTAGTAAATGTGTATGTGTGTGGCTTTCTTCACCTTCAGTGGGTTAGCAAGGAGCATGATCTGAGTGATGGAACTGGGGGGCATGAAGGGGGTAAAGGGAACCATTTCTGTTCCAGAAGGGGGCTGCAGCTTCACTCTCATAGACTGTCAATTACAAATCACAGAGTTAAAGTCAAAAATTCATTAATCAAAACCATCTGAAACCAAAAGCTATTCAGTTTAGCTTCCATATACTTCAGAAGAATATTAAAAATACGTTTTGTGCCTCTCACCTTTGGCACAGCTGCCTGAAGCACTACATTCCTCACTAACAGTGGTGCTGTGTTCAACATGGACACCACAATCACCAGAACATCAGGGCGACCAGGTGGATGGTCGGTAGCAAAGTGCAACAACACACGAACACCATCCTTATCGTAGGCGGTCACTGGACCCTCCTTACCTGTGAAAACACAAAAGGAAAAACACAGTTCTAAGCCTTACCAAAACAGGCAAGTCATTAAGTCTAGAATAACTGCTATACAGTAGATCTCACAGAATCCATTTTCATGTATAGGCCTTACTTGGTTTAATGGACTCCAGTGGAACAAAGACAGTGTTTAGGGAGATGTCCGAGCCTGAGGGTGTGTGACTGGTGGGTAGTGTTGGAGACAGGGATTTGAAGAGAGGGCTGTCTGGGGTGAAGCTCTGAGGTTTGGCAGAGGATACAGCAGAAGGCACAGGTGTTACTCCAGCAGGAAAACTGAATGTGGTAAATGCAGGATGGATGTTCTCTTCCCAAGCTCTAAGTTCTCTGCCGCCTGAGCTTGAACATTTGGACCGGCTGCTTCATATAGAAAGAACAAACAATTAGTTGTATTTAAAAGGAACGAGACACTTCACAAGCAGTTCTCCAATCACAATAAAAGGCTCTAATAATAGAGTGTGCACATGCTATTATTAAACTGCTTCGTCTGTGAACAACTAACATTTACCAATGGCATCAGTCGTCTCTAGAATATATATGGGAGTAAAAAAAATTCCCTATAATTTGCAAAGCTTCATTTTCAGCAGCCATTACTTCAGTGTCACATAATCTGTCAGAAATCATTCTAATATGTAATAAATGTTTTTTTTTTTTAATTGCTACTTATTCTCTCACTACCTATTATCCTTGTCCAGGTCCAGCATAGAAAAGTCTTTACTGCTCTGCTGGAGGGAGTTTTCAAAGCTTGTGACTGAGGTAGCTTCAGAGGTTGGTGGCGCTGTTGAGATTAGAGGATTTAATGGAGCAGAGCTGAAGAGGAGGTCAATCACTGGTTTAGACGTCTGTCATTACAAAAAAAAGTTAATGGGTAGATATCAAACATAAAATACAGAGTCTCTAGGCATATATTTGAAATTCATTACACAATAAAATTATATATAGGCTACAGCACTCTTGTAATCTTACTTGTGAAGAAATCCACTGATTGCTTTGAGCTTCTTTTGTATTCTTTTCTGCTGACTTCTTTGATTTAGAGTCCAGGCAACCAAGGCCTGAAAAATAGTGTTAAACACTGAGATTGTTTTAAAATTGATGACTCTTACTTATTGAATTTTAACAAATTTATAGAAAATTATGTTATATTATACATAATACTTACAGTCCCGCTCAAAGGTTTGAGGTCAGTAAGATTTTTGTTAACAAAGCTGTATTTATTTCATTATAAAAATGACTATTTGACAGTAAAAACTGTAAAAAAAAAAAAAAGCATTAATTTGTGAAATATTATTATAATTTAAAATAACTGTTTTAATTAAAATAAAAAAGTATTTTTTTGTAAAAGGGAAAAACTTCATATACAACAGCCATTATATGACTCTTCAAGGTTACATGATCCAAATAAAATCATTCTAATATGCCGATTTGGTGCTGCTCAAGCTACTTTTCTCTCTTCTTTTTATTCTTCCTCTTATTATTAAAACAAATATTGTGCTGCTTAATGTGGAAAGAGTGACATTCACAAAAGTAAAGAAGACTCATAACTATAGCAAGAGAGAGAGTCAAAAGGTAGGTATCGTTTGATAGAACACTTTTTTACATTTTTAGAAAATATAAATTACATTAGGACATTCTCGTGCTGAGAAACTGACTGTAATTTATATTTTGTGTATCAGTACACTCAGAAACTGGCGGGCAGTACACTCGGTTTTAGAGGGACTACTCAGCACTTGTTAAGAGTAGATCAAAATTTGCATTAAAAAGCTGAGTTTCTAAGCTTTAAAGGGGACATGTAAAATCCACTTTTTTAGCCCTTAAATGCATTTTGTTGTATATTTAGAGCGTTTATAAGCACAGAAAAGATGAAATTATTCTCTTCAGGTGCTTCGTTTATATCTTTATATTCTGTTTGTCATATTTTGCAACCTGTTCAGTTTTTTCTGTTCTCTATGACGTTTTTTGAACAATTACATCACAGTATTTGCAGCAGAACTGACAAATAAGGACATTGACTACCGGCCCAACACTTCGAGCAATGCGCCATTATTATTTCTCACTACGATTTTGTAGTCCAAGCTCAATGATGCAGAAGTTACGAGAGGGCAAGTCAAAATGTTCGGTTGTTGGACGTACGTTAGTGACTCGAAGCACTTCAAGGATTCCAACTTCAACAACCTCCGTCAGTATAAAGAAGGGTTTGCCGATCGACTTCGTCTGAATGAGAGGTAAATTCCTTCTATGTTTGGAGACGACGAACAGAGCATTTCGATAAGCTGTAAATATCGTTATAAAAATAAAGTACTTTACTTTCTTAAAACACATGGTGGTCATGGTTTAGCAGTACCTTTGTCTTTCTTTGTTTTTGTTTTGAAGTAACGTTACACGTCTGCAGTATTATTGTTCTTGAGTTTCATCAATGGTCATTTAGCTACGTTGTTTTCTAATACTTTTCTAAACGTGTCATACTATCAATACAGATTTTTAGTGGTGAGATTAGACCGTAGTCATTTATCTTGTCAGTGTGCTTGTTTTAACAAGAGAAATAGTCGACTTTCACTTATAACACAATACAGTAACATACCACTGCAATACATCCATATGAAGATTGTTCTGCAGGTTCGTCATCATCTTTTTCAAATCGCTCGCTCTGGCTCGAACATGTAAAGCTTGATGGACAAGTCTTCCATTGTTGACATTTTGTTAACGTGTGAATAAATATGTTCTTGGAAGCTATAGTATATAATCGTATATATCTCTAATCAAAGTACAAAAATGGCCGAACGGGGTGGAGTTGAACCGACCGTGAACTCAGCGACCTGGAGAGCGGGCGGGGTGTGACACATCTCCTTTTTATTTAAAGAGGCTGCTTTAAAACGAGTTGTTCACAGATGCACATCAGAAAAGGGGTAGAAAAGGGGCCTGTGGACCTATAATAATAAGGACCCAAGCATTGCAGTTATGCTTTACATAGACTATAATAGTAATAATGAATGATTTAAAAGCATGATATGTACCCTTTAAAATGAAACCTATTTTTTTGTTATTCCATTCAGTGGTTGCTTAGTAATTTGATTATGATTTTTTTTTTTTTTTTTTTTTTACCACCAGCAGTACACTTCAGGTTTAAGGGGTTAAATACATTCCAAATAAAATCATACATGGCAAAATAATCTAAAGTCATCTTTACCTAATGAACCAAGTTCTTCATCCAGAAGAGAAAGACTGCTGGGAAGCTGGCTTGATGGAGGACTGATTTGAAAACTTGACGATCCAGAGGACGTGTTGGAAGAGGAAGGCTGAGCGGCAAGTGTGAGGAGGTCAGCAGGAAGGGACTCTGAGTGTTGGGGTGGAGTCAAACCATGTTTGAGGGGTGAAGGGGATCCCAAGTCCAAATCAGCCAAATCAATCAAAATCTCAGAAGAGCTTCCGTCATTGGGGTCTAAGAAAATTAGAAAACAATTGAACTGCATCTTCAGATTTGTAGGTTCATAAACCATGCAAAGCTCTTTGGATAATTCAGATACAGTATGCAAAATCTAATGTGTAAATTGTAACAATTCTGGTACATAATGCATACGTTTTGAGGCTGTTGAACCTGGTATGTCAATCACAATGGTCTGTCCTTCAACAATCTTTTTATAGGAGTTGATTACACGTGAGAGATCATCACTAGCGTGTAAAATATCACCTGCACCAAAGACCACAAAGTACATGTAAAGGAGAGGAAGTTATTTGGTTCTAATATATTATTGGCTTAACACCTAATTGAGTTTCTATTTACTAATGTGTGTTACCTAAGGCACCGTCATCATCCTCTGTCTCGGTGGCGAGTCTGAAGACAGCGGTTCGAAGTTTGTCACAGTCATTATAAAGATCCTATGAACATACAGTTGCACATGGTCAATTACGTACAAATGCGAGCCAAGTCTAGCAGTGACTGGATATAAAAGGGCTCACCGTTAGAAGTTCTTTGTCCGCTTGTGTCGACTCATCTCTTTTGAAATGATTTAGCATCTCATTTAGGAGCTTCACACTGTTGTTCACCTCCTCTAGGGTGCTGGCACGATGGGAAGCTTTCTGTTGTATAGCCTCATCCTGAAAGCAAAATAAGAGGGCAGTAAGCCATTTTAAAAATGCATATGAATTATTGCAAGCACAACCATCAAGGGAGTAAACAAAAAAGGTAATGACCCACATGTTAATGACTTGAATACACTACTTCTACCACTTCTACCAAAACTCATTTTGATACTTTTTGGTATAATATTTTATTATTATTTTGGTTGCACTTTATTGTACAGTCTGTGCACATCCATGTATTTAAAGTGTACTTATCTAAGAAAGTACTGGTTAATATAAGGTAACTACATGGGTTAAAGTTAGGTTTAGGTGTAGGTTCAGGGTTAGTACCTAGTTATAACCCAGTTATTGTAATAGCTGTAAGTAGTTCATAGTATGTACATGGGGAACAGGACTGTAAAATAAAGTGCTACCATTATTTCTTACAAAACTGTTTAAACCTGCTTAAAATCAAGCAATAAACGTGCAGAAAAAAAAAACCCTTTAAAATTGGAATTATATAATAGTAGACCTGACCATCACAGTTGTGTGTCAAGGTCAACAAATAATATCAGAGTCATATTAGTCTAATCAAATTTCAGATCATTTTCCCTTTTATAAAAATATTTTATGAAAATGACATGTGGTGGATCTCCAAAAAACATAACACTAAATAATGTTTAGAAATACTTTTTAACGTTAAATGAAATAACGGAAAGAAAATGTTATTGCTTTATTTTTTTTAATGTTTTTCAAAGATATATGAAGCCATTAATATAAATAGTACATTCCAAATAGTACATAGTACATTTTTTTCATTGATATTTGAAGGATTTACTTTTTGTCAGTGAAATATTAGTTTTGATTTGTTTTTTAAAATAGCATAAGATTATTCAAGCACTTACCTCTTTGACCATGCTTTTGATAATGCGGTTGGCTTCTTGAAGATCCTCAGGCTTTTTACTCTTAAGAAGTTCTGCAAGACGCTGCAAGGAAATGTTTAGAGATAAGACAATGCTTTACAATTTTACAAAACAATTACCCATAAAAGAATATTGTAGGTTCAATACAAGTAACGCTCAGTCAACTCAGCACAGCAGCATTTGAACTTAAAAAAGAGAACTCCAAATGATTCTTTTTTTTTTAACAAAACATCTGTTAAAAAATAGTTTAAGCTGTCAAGATGTTTAAATCAGCATTTTAGGATTTACGGCCAAAGTATACCTCAGCTTTTATGTGTACCGTAAAACTTTAAATAATAGCCGAGTCCCAAATAGACACACCTGGTAAATAAAAGACATTTTTTTGTTTCGGTTTGTATTTAATCTTCTAAAACCCGTCAGATCATCCGCTTTTTGGGCAGCCCCCAAAGCAAATTTTTGGCCCACCAAAGCATTTTTTGACTGGTGAGTGATGTAGAATAACTGCTGCACTTGATAGGGCGAATCGATCAGAGAGAGCGTGCACGCACTCTCACGTCTTCAAACAACACGCGCGCTGTCTTGCTCTCTCTCCCTCGCGCATATTAATCAAAATCAATTGGCTTTATGCACAGCTTCCTGAACTTCAGCCAGCTCCTTTGTTTCCTGTCTGCCATTATTGGAAAACCTGATTAATTCAGGTGTGCCTGACCTCAGTAGTCACAACAACAATAATTAGACACACCTGAATTAATCAATTTGTCCAATAATGGCAGAAAGGAAACAAATGGTTGAAGTTCAGGAAGTAGTGCAGCTGTGCATAAAGCCAATTGACACAATACTGTAAGATTGGAAGACCGCAGTTTCACGAGAAGCATTTGGAGATTTATAGAGATTAGAGCCTTTAGGCCTACACTCAATGAACAACATCTCAACACTAAATTATAAAGGCCTGTCTCATATAGACGCCTGTCTCAAATACAAGCCGGTGCAGATCGACGATTTGGGAAAATAAAAGCCCGGGCTATTATTTGAAGTTTTACAGTATGCAAGGGCCTGTGTACAGTGACACAAATTTTGCCACCAGAATAGTATAGCCTGATTTTTTTAACCATGCATAATTTGTATGCACAGGTCGCACATACAGAATGATCTCATGAAATGGTGCATGTATGACACGCCAATTTGTATTTCCATTTTTGGCGTGCTATGAACACGCATAATCACTTTTCAGCGTGTTTATGAATGCCGTTGACTTAACGTTATATTACTGTATATATAACTATATGACCTAACCGTCACTGGGGTTAATACCATTTATGAGTCTTCCCCTACCATCCTAGGGAAAAAAATATCGCTCCCCTGATGTAGATCTACATTTTGCTTTGTTTCGCTCGACATTTAATGGCGTGTACACACACACACACGTAATCACTCGGACATTTAACGGCGTAGACATACACGCGTAAAGCTCAAAATGCGTTTAGATAACATGCCACTTGACTTGAAAGTGTCGTGTATGTTTACAAAAAAGTCATGATGTCATGTTGGTCAGTCACACCAACAAAATCTGATGTAACTTCTCACATAAAAAGGTTAGTAAGTAATTTGATCACACTAAAAATCATATTAACACATGTTTTTATATCTTATGCTACACAATTGAAACAATGGGCATTTTTTACATTTATATTATGGATTGGCTCCATTCACTTCCATTGTAAGTGCCTCAACCTAGACATTGTAACTTTTGCTTTTTTATATATAAATAAGAAACAAACAAACAATTGTTCTTCTGATCATCAATATTATACAACAAACATGGTCAACTGAGCCTAAATTGAACTGAACCTGGAATATTTCTTTAAGTTCTAATACTGTAATGCGTTTCTTCACCTTACTCTTTTCCTCATTGTCAAACACTGGATTATTGGGCTTTGGAGAGGGAACAAGGGTCTTGTCCACAGGAACCTCTGGGTCTTCTGTTACAATACCTATGAAAGAATGTTACAAAGACTAAACAAGACAGTCTAGTAAAATTGGAAGAAAGAAAATAAGGCCATGTCCACACTAATACGTTTTCGTTTGAAAACGTATATTTTTCTCTCCGTTTTGGCCTTCCGTCCACACTGAGACGGCGTTTTAAGTCAACAAAAACGTATCGTTTGGAAAACGCTCTCCAAAGTGGATAAATTTGAAAACGCCGTTTTCGCGTTGTAGTGTGGACAGTGAAACCGGAGGTATTTCAAAACGATGACGTAAGTTTAGTCATGTGATCCATGTAGTACCATTAGATATTCATGTTTATCGGTATTGTGCCTGTTATGTGTTATTCATTTTTACACTATTGCTAAAATATGTTACTTTCTATGTTACTTAACATGTGCTATTCTTCATAGCACAGTACTGCAAAGATAACAGATAATGTACTCTACTCACATTTGCTGTCCTGCGGCAAAACAGGAGAGCAGTTGCGTTTTAGACCAAACATATGGTGACTGAATGTGACCTGGACGCATCCGTGATGGTGAGATATTTTGCTAAATAAAATTATCCTGTTATTTTGCGATGACATTATTATTTAATTTCCCATCTGTATCATCTCAGTGAGCTTTTGTGAAGTTTCACGCATGCGCAGTAAAGTGAATTTAGAAGTTCCTCATCCACACTGAAACGTCGGAAAACACCTGAAAACGCTAGTGTGGACGGAGAGCGTTTTTAAACGAAAACCCCGTTTTCAAATGTATCCGGATTAATGTGGACGTAGCCTAAGTGGGTGAGATTCTTATAAATGCAAATGCTTATATTTGTGACGAAAGAACCTTGCATCTTTAGCATCTGATAGGCCTCTCTGATCTTTGCCTCATCTGGTAAAGCAACTGACCAGCTGTAGAGCAACTCTATTACTTTAATCTTCACTTGTTCAGATACTCTGTCTCCCAAATACTGCAGGATATAAAAGGGCAAAGTTATTATGGCGGTATTGCTTCTGTAATGGATGGTACCTACAAATTTGGACAAAAAAATCATGCATGTTTTGAATAACTTGAAGGTGGGTTAAGGAAGACAGAATTGTATTTTTTTTTTTTTGTATAAACAATCTTTTAACTTACCTTAGGTGAAACTACTTTAATGAGTTCATTTAAAAATCTAAATTTTCCAACTTCATTATGAAACCTCCTCCCACAATTCTTCATGCAGGCTTCTAAAACCTGTAAGAACAACCTGAATTTAGTTAGTCAGTCACTATATTAAACATACAACATTTGGTAAATTTTAGAGACTAACAGAGATAAACTCACAGTTAGTGCTTGTAATGACTCCCATTCTTGTGGTGACTGGATTTTGTGTGCTAATAATCTGACTGATATTTGTGGGCTGCAAGTTACAGACACAATTCTCAAATCAGTGATTCATAAGAACACACAAAAACTTTACAGTTGCTGTATTACATCATCATCCTAACTTAAAATCCTATCTTATCTGCTCAAGCCTGGAACAAAGTACACAATTGTTGAAAATCAGAACAGATTTGAAAACAACAGGCATCATACATTAAACGACTGCCACTGATTTTCAGCAACTAACGTTGACTCCTCTCCTGACTGTAAACCGGGGGCAAAAGTCATGTGTATTTATTATAACCATGGTAATTTCACTTTGCCTTTGCAAATATATTTTTTTTTCAAATCTCAGGTCAAGAATTATAATAAGATGCTTTAATAATACAGCCTCAGATGCTCAAGTAAAGACACTTTCATTAAAGGTAAACAAAACATACCCTTCAAGTTCCTTATTGATTTGGTCACAGAATCCAATTATGTACTCCCATTCCTCCTGTCGGTTTGACGGATTGGTGGATTTGTCTAAAAAACAAAACAAAACAAAAAAACAATCAAACTAATATCAATATTTTTGAATGGAAATGAATTACTCTTATTTTTTACTCTTGTTCTGCTTACATTTAAATTGACAAATTCATTAAAAAACAAATATCATAATATTTTATGCAAGTAGAAAACAGCTTTTATCCAAATCAAGGAATATTTATAACAATACAAATGCACATTAATACAATGCAGCCTCAGGAATAAACAATAAACAAATTAATTTAGCAAAATGTAGCTCAATTTAGTTTAGTGTTGATTCAATTCAGCTCACTGTAACTTAGTGTTGCTAAGTTTGTCGATAATGAAACAACTTCAAAGGCAGATTTAGTATCGATAGACAAGGCACTTTTATAAGTGTAACTATGCAACGTGGGACGTTTTCTACTTAAAAAACAGAACAGAATCAGAGCTAACAATAATGATGCGCAAAGTTATAGCTGTTTAGACAAAAGCCGTTCAAAATGAGTTTAATTGAAAGGTGATTGAGTTTGCAAGTCGGCAAATGACTCAAAATCTAAACATTTAGGGGCATAATGGGACCAAATATTCTGCCAATTTACGCATTAACCACCATACCCTAAACGCTGGCTAGGTTGGGTCAGTCCATCCTCCAACCCTCATGACATGTCAGTGTAAATATCACAGACACGCCAAGACATGAGAAAACAACTGGTCCCAAACAGCATCCGTATATGGCTGTTCTACGTATCTTAAAGACTATACCGAGTAAAATTAAACCATATTCTGATAATGTATTAGCAAGCATGAATACTCACTTAGCCATGACTCCAGTGACTCTCCTTCCGGATCCGCCATGATCTCACAAATGCATAACTAACTGACGAGAGGGAACTACACAACAAGCCCGTCATGTGACATTCTCGTGCCTCAGTGTGAATCAGTGGCCTGTGGTCTTCCGAATGGAAGTTCTTTAATGTAAATAATTAATGTTGAAATATTCTTTTCACAAATATGTACCTCCCCCCTATAATAGTCCTGTAACCAAATGTTGTCAAACCATTTATTTCATGATACAATATATCATTTGTGGTATAAAACAATAATTAGGAAGAACAAATTGATTTAGTACTCGTGTACCACCAGGTCTGAGATTTTAAGATTTTGGCTTGTGAGCGTTTGTGATTTAGCTAGTTTTCAAGTGATGTTATTAGCAAGTCATTTGCTCTAGTCTGAATCTGATTACAAATTCTGTAATTTTCATGTAAAGCTCTAATTTAAATGAAATTAGCGCTATAGTTTTAAAGTTACATTTTAATTTGATTAGTATTTGTACGTTTGTATAAATTATATGTATGGTGGGATTTTTTTTATAACTAAAACTTTACAACTAGGGTTGGTGTGCTGATAGTTTTGTCATATCTAATTGTACTAATTTGGCACCATTTATAATAATTCTTAAGTAACTTAGAACTAAATTACAATTTAGTCAAATTTGTTTAAAAAAAAAAAGTTTATTTTCTGAACTAGCTATTCCGCACCAATTTAATTTGAAAAATGAGTACACCTTGGCTAAAGAGAGACAGACTTTTCAATTTCTAAGGTAAGTTGTTACATGATTTCTGTATTATAATCATTTTTATAATTATTCTTTTTAAACTGTATATCAGGAGAGAGAGAGAGAGAGAGAGAGAGAGAGAGAGAGAGAGAGAGAGAGAGACAGACTCAAAACAGCAGCATTTATTTAGTCTATTAATCTCCAATTTTGAAAACAAAAAAAAAACAAAAACATAAGAGCAGCCAACATGATTGAACATTTTTTTCATATAATAGGCCCAAACAGAAACTTTAACAATGTAAGCTATTTTAAAATTACTATAAAATTAAGAAACTTTTACAAGGTATCCTAATGTGCTAACAACAAAGGTAAAAGTTAGAGCATCTACCACAGATATTGCAACAACCCTTCACTGTAAAAAAAAAAAAAAAAAAAAAAAAAATGCAACTGTACAAAAAACAGTGTTCACTGTATGAAACTTCAACAAATAATAATAAAAAAAAATTATAAAATAAAATAAAAAAAACTAGACAGAAAAGACAACTGCCATTCATGTATACTGCTGGTGGCTCACAGGTTTGCGGCTGGTAGCGATTGCTTTTCTTATTGCATGGAATCATCACCCAGAGGCAGATTTAAGACACTAACCTCAAAATAGAACAAATCCTGACCGTTCTGAACTAAACCCAAACGCGGAACACAACACGTGCAGATGCATGAACACCAGCTTTGCCATACCGCTCCACAGTACTAGTACATGGGGTTTCCACTTCTTTCTCCCATTAAGTACTCTTTAGGCCTTCTGTGAACATTGAACGCTTGAAACACGAATGCTGAACAAGGAACCACATTCTCTCCTCAGTCAGCTACTTCACTGTAGTAATACTTGTGTGCAGTTTCAGTGAGGGTCCAACCACTCGCCCTGAACTCCAAGATCTCCAGCAGCAAGAGCCTTGTCATGGAGCCGAGGTCTTGCTGAAGGAGAAAACCATCCCGCAGCATGTAAAAGAGCTGATTCATGCGCTGAGAGTTTGTTTGCTCCAGTTGCTCGCCCACACGATGAAGCTGTAAGACCAGACAGTCCACCTGTTAGAAACACAAAAATTCCTGTATTTAATTATTGTCATGGATTTAAATTAAGTCAAAGCTGAAATTTGTTACAAATGGCCAAAGAAATAGTCTTTTGCAACTTCAGAAATCATGTACTGTCAAGAGTATGTACTACATTTCCAAAAACTTCACAACCCTTAAAAAGTAGCATGTTCTGTAAAGTATGAACACAATCACATGCTACATTCGGCATAGGGATGTCAATGAGTAATTGTTCATAGAGGAGTAAGATTAACCAACTTTAAAAATATAATAGATAAATCAATAAAGCTAAAATGCATTCAGTAATAATGTGTGAAGGTGAAAATACAGCCTATAAAACCAACTGATGCTATAGTATGCATTACAACTTGACCACTAAATGTATATTTCAGAAAACTTTGCTCAGGCTTGTAAACACATCTGAACTACCATTAGGACGATCCAATTGCATTAAAGGTGGGTGTGCTCACGGTTTGTTCGTTCATTCACTACATCGAGGGCAGACAGAATAAACAGGAACTGCTTTCTAATTAAATACAGACTCCTGAATTTAAAGAACTTGGCAACACGGATGATATTTTTTCCTGTTTATTATTTAAGCTGCTTTGAACCGATGTGTATAATTGTATAAAGTGGAGTATAAATGCTGTGCCAAATTGCAGATCAGGTGTAAACATATCTACATATATGATCAGATGATTTCTTGACTGCTCCCTTCTAACCGCTGTCATTTTTGTTGAGCATTTGTTGTATTATTGAGAGGATAGCACACAGCATATATTTAAATATTCATCTAAACAACATTTGCAGGGTGGGCGGCATCTGAATGTTTAAAAACAGTATATTGTTACTCAGGTTTTTTGAACTTCCTTGAAGAACGAAAAAGAGCGAGTATGTCAGGGCCTTAAATCATCCAGAGTTTTTTATTTTATTACTGTTTTATGAATACTGGGAATTTGGATATTCCACAAAATTGCACAAAGCTACTTTGCCCTCTGGCATTCCTACAATCCTGACATTCCTTATTTAAAGGGTAACTAAACACTAAACCTACTTTTTTTTTAGTTAATGATCTGTAAGAATGGGGCTTTATTAATGCTGATCATTGATGCGAGTAACTTTTTTGACATTTGGGTATAAAGTATTGTATTTCTACAATATATGGTGTAAAAACGTCTGAGTGCTGCCCTCTTTAGTTTGAACGGTGGCTACTGCAGTTGAATTTTCCTATTGGATGTTTGTGGTTATTCGTGACATACCCGGGTAAGCAGATTCCAGCTCACCACGCCCTTGGTACGAGCTGCCACGCCCTCGGAAATTTAAGTCATCTTGTTTCGTCAAAACCACTGCGAGTCAAGAGTTGATCAGGATAGAGTATTGTAACATCAATTTAGCATAGAATTTAGATATTTAGTTATTTTGATTATTTTGTGTAGCCTAGTAGTTAGTTAGTAGCATAGTACAGTTAGGATAGCTTCAAGTTAGTTTAGATTTATCTGTGTTTAGTACAGTGGTCAGGATGGTAACGGAATGGGCTCTATGCACGGCGGTATTTCCGGTGAAGGATTAAGGATGCTCGATAACTTCCGCCGATCGTCGAGTCCAATGCAATACCGAGAATTTATATTGAATTTTATACTCCATGGTTATACTAAAGAAACGTTAGTCACAAAAACAGATAAAACAGACACCCCTCGTTGTGTTTATGCTTCTTTTTAAAATTATATTAAATAAACATAACTATATATAATATTACATCTAAACGCATGTACGTTTCATTTCAAAGACTGGAGGACAGTAAATATTGAAGACTCTGCCATAATCCTGTTTTCCTCGGTTTTCCTCCGCTTTAATCTACACAACCGGAAATGGACGAGCATCCTTGCGTCAAATGCGGAATTTATGCATGCATATAGCCCATAGAGGTGGACATGGGCTTCTCCACACAGCTCGCGCTGAAAAGTGCCAAACACTGCTCCTCCTGCATGGACTCCACCACCGCAGCGGCGTCTTGATGTGAGTGATCATTTATATTTTAAAACACAATTTATGGTTAGGCTAAAAAACGCCGACGCATTTTGCTGGATTTTTTCACATAGCGACAAAATATCAATATGAATATATGCCTACAGAGAGCGCGTGCTATTGACATCAACTCAACAAAACTCATCAGATGCCGATTGCGATGCGGGAGTTAAGACCGCAGTTTGAGCCAGCGGCTTGAATTGATATGGGCCTGTGTCCATAGACAATTCTCACCCTCCTCCACTTCAGGTGAAGGTGCGGGAGAAAAGTCCTCGACTTCAAATGACCACTCTGTTGCAAAACTCCTTGAGTCACTCTCCGTTTTAGAGTCTGACAGCACCTGTCACTACGGTCTCAGGTGCACGCCCCCCGCTCAGCCCTGTCCTTGGGTCGTCCCCTCTATCTCCGCTAGGGTCTGCCCAATTTCAGCATTTTTCAAAAATTGCCAGTGGGTGGAGTCAGGCTCTCACCAGGTTTAGTTACCCTTTAATTTGAAACAAGTTTATGACACCAATGCAGCAGACAGTCAAAAAATTATAATGTAAACGTTGACAGATAGATATTCCTTGCCAAAATAAAAATTTACTTCCAAATGTTTATGAGCCAAACCTTTTACCTCTTCCTCATTCATCAAGGCATCTGGCTGAGCCAACCTAAAGAGGCAGTCATATATTGGATCCACAAGGGCCACAACAGGAGCATTGTTTACCTAAAAAGAAGCAAGATAGTCAAACCTAGTCGAGGAAAAACAGACCATCCTATACAAATTAAAAACTGCCTACTTGCAACTGAGATATTTTACCTTGATATAATCAAATACGCTGCATATAAACGTGACCACACACACCCACTTGTCCACCGAACGATTTCGAATCTCTTCCCTGGCAGTGAACTCTTGCTGTAGACGATTCAACAGCTTTCGCCTGAATACACTGGATGCAGCTTTCTGGGCCTCTGCCTATTTAGTATAAAAGTTGATTCACAATGTAATAAAACAAAATACATGGCTTCAGTGGAGGTTCATTTCAAGCTGTGTTTTGCAGACAAAAACAAGTTGTTGGTTCATGAAAACAGCTTTGTGTTAGGGGGGTATATTAAAAGGTCACAGTTTATGAGCAACATAAGACAGGCTTACCTCAACTAGAGTATAACACATACGGCCAGCATCTTTACAGAACGAGAGGTCTTTCAATGACTGCTCTACAATGGCGTTAGAAAGCTTGTCCATATCAACTCTCTTTGGA